TATACATAATATTTCCAAAGAAGGTCAACTCAGGCTCGAGGGGAAACTTTTAAGGCCCACAGCATTTGCATACAAACTCGCCTGCATAATAAACGTGTGCTTTTTCTTTTGAAACTATGAAAAGTAATACGTAAAACTCCGTAACACAACCAGTAATTTAAACATGTGATTGTTCGCTGGTTGTAACTAATTGGTTGCATCATAAAAGATGTAATCCTCTTACTTTCACACATCTTAACAGGGAGGAAAAAATGTGCAACGTGACAAGGAAGCAGTCGCTCTGACGTTCAAAGGCTCAAGCAGATGCTCTGTTACACTCGGAAATAGCACATACTTAATGACTTTAAAAGTAAGTGAAATATTCAGGCAGATTCTTGTGGATTTCAAGTCTGGCTGCCACTCAGGACTCAGGTCCCTGCTATGCAAGCAATATTAGCCTTCCCGTTTGGACTAGGATGGAAATTGTAGCATGTCAAATGAACACATTCTCAACTATGTTATGAAGCATTCTCAACGGCGTGACTAGCAAAGGTTAGATTCTGTAATTTGGTGATATAATTTCTTCTTATAACTTATAATGCAGTTTTTGTTGTGCGTTTGTCACCTTTGCAAGAATGTAAGTATCTATTCACAAAATTTATATTAATCCCTTCATTCTGCAGTCATGTTCTGGACAAAGCTATTTTTTCCCATGTGGCCACAAGGCTTAGGAAAAGGTTCCCGTTGCTTCCACTAGAAACAGTGGCAAACTTTGGGCCCTCAAATTTCATCACCACCCTGTGTGATGCTAAAAAACTGGAGCCCTCCCTCTTGTGTTCCATTCGGCATCATTGTTGCAGTGCCCCCTGTGCTGACATCACCCTGTGAGGCCAAACTGGTTCACTACCCTAAAACTGCTTCTGCTGAAAACAATGGGAGGAAAGGGGGGAAGAGAGATTGACAGCAACCTCCTACCCAGGTTGACTCAGAACTAAGTCCTACTGAATTCAATGAGGTTTAATCCCAAGTAAATGAGTTAGGATTGCAGCTGAGAAACTATGGGGCATGTCTAAATTTATCCCCTGTTTGTGGGCATATCAGAGGACTAGGACAACTTTGGGTTCTTTGGCTTCCAACCGTTTCCCAGATTTCCCTGGTACTCTCCCAAACTGTCCCAACACATCTTCCCTTTGGCTCTCCTGCTTAGCCCCGACTTGGTACCAGATACTGAGTTCTCAGAGAACAAACTAGGAACTTCACAAGTCAAGGACCTTGAACAGCAGGCAGAACTGGTGCTGAGAATTTTCTTAAGGGGCTCTGCAGGGGGAGACCTGCTGAAAAACCCCTGAAGATGTCAGAGTAGGAGCTGGAGCTATAGTTAGAGTGTGGACTAGGAGGCCAGAGCAGTGTTTGAAACTCCCATTGTTCTAGGTGCATTTTGCGACAGAAAATTTCATTAGCGTGAGCAGTTTCTGAGCTCTGGGCACAGTACTGTGCCCAAGGTTTCAGATTACAACTGCAGAGTGGAAGGAAAGGAGGACCTTTTTCTGCATCCCCACTTCCAGCTAGTTCCTGAAGACTGGAAAAGAGTCCCTCTTGAGAATATCAGAGGGGTGGGGAAAGGACTAGACCATGTGAAAAATGAACATAAAATTTTAGCTGCAGTTGATTCATTTTCAGCTTTGTATTCTTGTTATTAAAAAAGTGCAGCTAGACATTCCGTTGTTGTGCCCATAACCTAGGTTTAAGGTGCCATTTAACTCCTAGCTTTCATATCTTGGTTTCTAACACTGGGCCAGAGTATATAAAGTATTATTTTCTTGAGTCTCCCAGTTGTTGGAAACAACACAGTCTGCACTCATTGTTCCTTATTCTAGTTTCCCCTTCTTGGTACCTTCCCTGAACTCACTGTGGTATGGACCTTGGCATGTTGCCTGACTTTGCCTTTGAATCTTGTTTTGGACATAGACTGATTTTATGGGCTTGACCTTAAGTTTGTTTGGAATATACTGCACCTGCCATCCTGCCCTCGTTTGTGAGTGTTTGGTAAGAGGCTTATACCTCCTAGGACTGGGACCCTAGCCCCAGAGGACACCTGCTGGAGCCCCACATTGGTCCTACTGACAATGGGCACTGACATTGGTTGGGCTGGGGCATAGGAGACTTCTGCAGTAGCAGGGAGAGGGGGAGAGATCTTACATCAGTAAGATCTCCAGCATTTGAGTCCTGTCTCCAACATCAGAGAGGGATGTCCAATATATCCAATGACCCCCTACAATGCTCTTCCGGGGGCCTTAGCATTGCACCATTAATATCTCATCTTGTAATCAGACACATAGAGGAGGGAGTTGAAGAATGGTCAATAGCCACAAGGCAGTGTTGTCAGCAATCCCCGGAAGAGATAAGTGTTACAATTACATGTTCATAGTGCAACCTTTGTTCATAAAGGAATCATCACTGCAAGTTACAAACACATAATTCTCCCCGAATTTTGTATTCTCCTTGACCAACACTAATTAAGACTATAGCAAGAGTCCTGTTTAATCCAGCATTTTTATCCTCACAGATGCCTACAGGAAACTCATATGCAAGACATGAGCACGTTAATTCATTTAGCCTATCACATAATATATTTAAATTGTTATTCATCTCTCTGGTAAGCAACTGGTGAAGTATGCAAATACTTTCACCAATGCCTAAATGAAGAATGATGATCTCATTAGAAATATTTAGTGTGGTTGGCACATTCTATGTGGCTGGTGCCGAGGTGTGCCTTGTAAATTGTGGGGAGTGGAGGGCTGAATCAAGCCCATAAAATCATGTGTGCAGACTTCTCCTCAGAAAAGTAAATTGTAAAACTGGCATGTCCAGTGACTGCAAATGTTAATGCTGAAATTGCCCAGACTGAAGGACTTAAGAGTTATGAAGTCAGGGGGAAAGATTTCATAATGATTATATCCTACTGTTGGACAGTGAATGAGAAGGAGAGGAAGAGAGAAGCATTTTTCACAACCAAGTTTTCAAAACTATTATGCCATTCCAAGTTCAGCTTGACTTGACCAGGCTTTGCCCTGGTGGAACAATGAGCCTAGCAGCCTTTGGCTGCAGTCGGGAGATATTTAATCTAGTGACCTCTTTGATGCAACTTATCCTGGAACAAATGATTTCATGCTTGCTGCTTTTGTAGGTAGGCAGTAAACCACTCAGGGGTTGAAGAATGATTAGGAACTTGGCACTTCTTATAAGTTACTCAGGAAAACCTCAAGGTCTATCTGTGTAATAGGTACAATGCTCATGCTTTCAATTTTATAAAAGGTTACCTATAAATAGAAAGTATGTAACTAGTGGGTACATTGTCCTACAATAACATCAATAACCAAGTACTTACAAGCCAGAGGTTGCCAAGGGTAAGCAACTTAAATGAAGGAGAACTCAGATACATGTTCCATTCACCACTTCATAGCAATTATGAGTTCATGTTGCAGCAGTGGTTAGGGAATGGTCTGATAATAATTGTAGTGCAAGCCCAGAAGGGTAGAATTTAAACAAGCATTGTCCTTCTAAAGTTCAGAACCTAAACCCCAAAGAAATTACCAGGTAGGAACAGAGAGGTTGGAAAACTTTTGTTAATCATGCCTTTGGCAAAAAAAAATATTCTGAATGCGGTTACAACATTACTGCTGCTATAATAGGGGGACGCTTCTGGTAAAGTAGTATCAGGAAGGGTGAAAAGAAGTGTGAAATTTGGCAGCTTCTCATGGCATCTTACAAAAGTCAGTAGTAAGATGTTTAAGATGAAGTTGGGACCGTGGTTGGCATTTTCCAATGAAGGTCAGTCCAGGCCTGCTCACCATTTATGTTTCACTTAACTAAATCAAGGACTGAAATGAATATCGTCTGAATCCCTGGAGACCCACTGCCAGTCAGTGTAGAGAATAGTGAGCTAGGTAATCTGAGCAGCAGGAAAATGGAAATCACTTCCCTTGAATGCCAACCACTGCCAACCCATGTAGACAATACAGGTCTAGGTGAACCAACGGTCTGACTCATTATAAGGCAACTTCCTTTGTTTCTATGAGCAAAGTCTAATTTAACATTGTTCTGAGTACTTTACAGAGCAGGGCCTGTATACCAGCACAATTATTGGTGAGTTTTCACATGTGAATTTTGCACTATACTAGCTCCTGACATGGAACTTCTTTTAAATTGTTGTTTCTTTGTTCAGGAGAGGTTGGCCACACTTCTCTTGTCACTGGTGAACTCTCCTCATTGCTACTGGGCATGTTCCCTCCCCATTCTCAAATGCAAGGTTTTTTTGTTTGGGGAAGGGAGGTTCTGACAGGGAAAATGTTCTCAATGAAAACTATTCTTTTTTAATCCCCAAAGCCCCAAATTATTTTTAAGACAAGCCCATCTAATAAAATAAAATAAAATAAATTCATAAGATGAAGCCTGAATTCCAAAGAGCGCTTTGTTCAAAATAGGTGGCACAGTAGAAGCATTGTTAAAACATCCAAAGGTCAGTCATGTGCTTGTCTCCTTTGAAACAATAAATGCAGAGATTTTATCTACTTCCTTTGAGCGTAAACTGAATTTGGCATCGTAATGATGGCGTAAATCATTTCTTGTGCTGGAGAAGACAAAAGGATGTGCATTATGCTGCGGAATATTTAGCTTTGTAACATCCAAACCTACTGTTTGTGTTCAGGGATCCATTTTGGGAATTACTGACCTAGATGTTGAGTTTCACGTGTACAGTAAAAATTGGATTATGCTCCATTGCTACTAATAGCAGATTTCATCGGATTTCCATGACAGTAGAAGCAAGATCCAACACAGCAAATATCAGTACAACTTCTCTTACACTCACCTTAACAAGTAATGTCCAAACTGGAAACCTGGCATAGCAATTATTCCACCTACCGTACTTTTGCTTTGGGACTCAAGATAGTGGAGTCTCTCTCCCCAGGTTAATTCAGTGAACAAACACCCTAGCTAAACACCATTTATTATACACTGACCTTGAAGCTGGCGCCCTTTGAACAAATCTTTTGTTTTGCTTGGATGAGCTCTGGCACTGTTATCACATTTGGGTTGCTCATATCTGAAGGGAGAACAGGAAGAAGAAAAGACAACAAGGTAAAGTCAATTTAATTTGCAAAATCTATCACATCATAAACAATGTAGTCACATTGAAGTTTGGCAGAGTGCTCAGACTCAGGCGTTCCTCTAAAATTGCAGCCACACATCTGCACAAATGCCAAATAAAGCACATGCTAGAAACCCATTAATTAAGACTCATGCCATTCCCTGAGATAAGCACTGCTGAGCAATTTCAGCGGGGGGGGGGGGGGACATTTCAAAAATGGGTCTAGAAAATGCTTGTGCCTGATCTCACAAGACTGTATAGCAGTTTCCTCTCTCTTAGGTAAATCTCTAGTACAACCATTTTTCCTTGTGCATCTATAAGAAACTGAGCTCACAGTGTGCTATGAATCTGCTGCTATCTCCCATTTAAAATGACCTTTTCTTCTTCTGTTTAAGGCAAGTTAACATGCCCAGTTCCTTCACAATACTCAGCAAGCCCCTTGCTGAGGCTTTGATACAAGTGTACTCTTTTTGTGGTCTTTAAAGTGTCCCAAAATCCTTTGTTGGCTGCTATTCTGGAATTTATTTCATTAGTTATCTATAGATAACTTTTAAACAGTGGGCAGGGGGTTATTGTGTTGCTTGTTATTATATTATTATGTGTTTTGGTGTTTTTATACTGTAAACCTCTCTGTGATGCTCGGATGAAGGGTGGTATATAAATTTAATAAATGGTAATGGTAATAATTGAGATTGTGCTAAAATATAAGCCTTCTGTCTTTACAGGCATATATGGCCATGCAAAGGAAAGGCAGATACCCAGAATCTGGAACTCTACCGCTGTATTTTATTGTGGGATTTAATCTGTATCGCTCACAGATAAAAGCTGAGATATAACAGTTTGAAATATGCTTTCTATGGTTCTGTGTTATGCATCTTTATCACTTGAAGAGCTCAAGGAATTGTAAGAAATTCATGAGCAATGAAAGGAAATGGGAATTTAAGCCAGTCATTGGCTGTGATTTGGGTGTCAGTGTTATAGCTGATCCACTTGCAGTTGCTGTGAGATTTCTCCTTTAAAAATGTCAGTGTTGAGAAAACAAGATTTGCAAAGAAAATGACAGATGCTTTAACCATCAACTGATTATTAATTAATTATCTGGAAGGAATGATGCCAAACAACTAAGACCAAAGTAATGTCTCACAGGGAACAAGGCCACTGAATAGATGATAGATAGATATAGATAGATAGATGATAGATGATAGATAGATGATAGATAGATAGATAGATAGATAGATAGATAGATAGATAGATAGATGATAGATAGATAGATGATAGATAGATAGATAGATAGATAGATGATAGATAGATAGATAGATAGATAGATGATAGATGATAAATAGATAGATAGATAGATAGATAGATAGATAGATAGATAGATAGATAGATAGATAGATAGTGTGTGTGTGTGTGTGTGTGTGTATTTCTCTCAAATACACAAAGAGAGTGGAGCAGAAAGTTTGCTGTTAAACTAACACCAACTACATGGTGATGGAAGTACAATGGTTTGGTGATTCACATGAGCTACACCGAAGGAGAAAGGAGTTCGAATATACCTCAGGCACTAGAAAACCACCAACAAATAATACTCAGATTTATCTGTGATGTACTTTCTTTGAAGATTCCCTCCAGTTTTCAAGAGTAATATAACTGAATGATGTCTGTGAAAGGTGAGTGAAAAATGAACTATGGATTCAGATGGGCACTTTTTCCTGTTGTGTAGTGACTTCCCGATTCACCACAAGATGGACTCAAAATGGAGCAGTCTTTCTAGAAAAGTCCCATTGTATGATGGACTCCTCCTCAATATAAAGTTTTGGGGTGTTTGTGTTCCTGCTTGGCTTTGTTACATTTCCTGTGCTATTGAACTCAACAATATAAAGAACCTAGTGCTTGAACATGATTGATCTGGTTTCTCCATTGTTTGATTTGGTACCGCCCAGGCAATTGAGCTTTTAACCCAGTCACGGAAGAGAGTGTAGTTTTTCCACTACACTCAAATTGAAAACTCCTTTCAAAGCCATCGTAACAAATCATAGAGTGCTTGGGCGCCATGCTAGCCATGAGAAAAATGACTGGTTGGAATGAAATAGTCCCCGCCTTCATTGTTTAATTTATCTTCTCATTGTCAGTGAGAAACTAGCCATTTCTGAAACTGGCCTATAGCCCATCAGATACAGATTGCTCCAGGAAGGTGCAATGCAATTTCATGCTCAGATGAGTGTGTGTCCTGTGGGTGAAAAAGACACCTTTAGAGTAGGGAGAACAGAAGCTGTTTTGATGGCAAGCTTTCGATGGAGTGGATGGTAATTGCTGATACATGACCTCTTTTAACCAGCCAAGTAAAGAATGAAAGAGAAATCTTTGAACTGGGTGCACTAATGTAGCATCTGGCAATTGGCCTGAACGCAGATTAATCTGATACCCCATCCTGCATTCTTCCCTTCTCTTTCTCTCTCTGCCTCCAGATTCCCCACAGCAAGTGGCATTTCATGCTTAGATTTTGCGCTCTCTCTCTCTCTCTCTCTCTCTCTCTCTCTCTCTCTCTCTCTCCAAGTCCAGATTTATGAGGGATTGTACTTAGCAACTGCCTATGTCTTACATAGAATAGCACACTGTTGGCAAATAAATCAGTTTGCTAGAAGAGGAGAGAGAGGTGCACATTATATTTATAATCCTGCACCTTCAGATCCTTCTATTGATTCTCTTTGTAAACAGAGGTAATGGTGGCTGCACCAGCAGTTGTAGGAAGAGTACAAACTGCAATATTTATTACGGTAGCTCTCCCAACCTGGAGGGCTGAAGACTGTATTTTTTTAGAAAGTAAAGCTGATGTAATCAAAATTCAGACAAGAGTGCAAAGGCTACACAAGACATACATCCCATGAAGAGATGTGAAGGGGGGGGAGGAGGCTAATAATAATAATAATAATAATAATAATAATAATAATAATACAGTGGTACATCGGGTTACATACGCTTCAGGTTACATAGGCTTCAGGTTACAGACTCCGCTGACCCAGAAATAGTGCTTCAGGTTAAGAACTTTGCTTTAGGATGAGAACAGAAATCGTGCTCCGGCGGCACGGCAGCAGCAGGAGGCCCCATTAGCTAAAGTGGTGCTTCAGGTTAAGAACAGTTTCAGGTTAAGTACGGACCTCCGGAACGAATTAAGTACTTAACCCAAGGTACCACTGTAATAATAATAATTTATTTATACCCCACCCATCTCGCTGGGCTTCCCCAGCCACTCTGGGCCTAGAAAATGAAAAGAGGGATAGCAGAGCTACCTTTTAAATTCAAAGTTCACAGCGTTGCCATACGTCTGGAATTTCCCAGAATACGGCAGTCGGAAATATGGCAACCCTAAAGTTTAAGACTACAGTCCTATGACCCATGGGAGGGTGTCCAAGGGCCCACAGGCTACATTGGCTCTCCCTCTCTGGCAATGGAAACATCCATGGCCCAGACCCTACCAGTTTCAGAGCTTTAAAGGACTGCTGAGATAAAATTCCAGAGGGGTTGTCATATAATCTGTTTCAACAAAGCCGCCAAAGAGTTTTGTAGTACCTCAAAGCTTTCAAAAAATAGTTTTGAGGTACACAAGACTCTTCATATTTCAGTCATGGGTGTATGCTTTCATCTGCAGAAAGAAATGACAACTTTCAGGAAAAAACTGCTTTATCTCAGGTCAGACCATTGGGACCATCTAGCTCTGTTGGGATTACAATGATGGGCAGCGATTTCCCAGGGATATTTTTGCAGCCCTTTCTGGTGATGGCAGGAACTGAACTTGGGAGTCTTTTGCATCCAAAGTATGCGCTCTACCAAGGGGCAATAAAGTTCTCCTCCGACTGAGAGTCTGAAATTCATTTTGAACAATGAATGCCTATTCCGACCTTCTGAAACTGTTTCTCTCAAAAACATTGTTTTGTATAGGAAGAAGAAAAAGATCGGTCTTTTAAACCACTTGTGCTTGCATCAAGTGAAACATGCTGCCTTGGCTTTTGGTGGGCTTCCATACAAGCATTCCTAAAGAAGCCCAAGCCCACATTGTTTCCTTTGGAAAGCGATACTTTGCTTGCCTGCATCTGCTAAACATGGCCCACAACTCTTCCCCGCATTTCTGGCTCTGCTGAAATTCATGAACTTCAACTTACTATTTAACAACATGTTAAAAATACATTTCTTCTTTCTACTGCTTCCAGCACTGTTGCTCCATTGAAGTTAATCATGTGAAAATGGGCTGAGGGGACTGTTTCTGGAAATAATGGAAATGTTTCTGAGGTTGCATTTCTTTTCTTACAGGGAGCCTGGCAGGTCTGATTTTTCTTTCCTTTACTACCAGACAGCAAGTGATTGCATTTTCTCATATATATGCCACATTTTGCTACCCAAAGTGCTTTATAATCTTATTTTATCATTTACAGGTCATTTTTTCCCTACTCAGATTGCTTTACAGTCTTGTAGCTTCTTGTGTTTACCCTGTGAGGTTCACGAATGTTGTTTCAATTTCACAGTAGGGGACTGAAGTTGAGAGATGGTGACTGGCCCAAGGCCATACACAGAGTCCATAAGCAAGCTGAGATTTTTACTAATGTCCAAGCATAGTCTTGCATTGCCACAGCACAAGGATCTGAGCTTAATATATGTGCTGGGAGGGCCTCATGTTATTACATTATTGCAATATCAAGATGTAATCACAGCTGCCACTTTTCCATTTGAAGTAAGAGGGAAATCAATGAAAATGGTGGTAATTAATGAAGGAGATCAATGAAAAGAATGATGCTGCAATCAGAATCCACAGTTGGGCAATAAGAATGCAATCTACATTGTACCAAAGTCAGCAACAATGTTTCCATTGTTTTTAATGGATCATGATTGTTACCCTCAGTCTTTACCTCTTACCAATCAAGGTACTGTTAGTGCAATCACAATTTTATACACACACACACACACACACACACACACTTCTATGTTGCATTTCAACATTTTTCAAAAGTCTAAATTGCAAGGTTAAGATTTAGTTTAGGGTGAAAAACTGAATGTACCAATTAAATATGGAATAATCATATTTTGAATGTGTATTGAATTGTTAGGGTGCTGTTTTGTAGTAGATTATTTAGTCTATATTCTGTGATATTACTGTCACTTTAACTGTGCAATTCTATACATGCCTACTCATAAGTAAGCCCTATTGAGCTTAATGGAAATTACACCCAGGTATGTAGGATAGCAGCATAAGAATGCCTCTTGATATTTTATTGTAAGGCAATTAAATTGGCAGTTGTATGAACATTTTGAATTATGGTGCTGGAGGAGACTCTTGAGAGTCCCATGGACTGCAAGAAGATCAAACCTATCCATTCTTAAGGAAATCAGCCCTGAGTGCTCACTGGAAGGACAGATCCTGAAGCTGAGGCTCCAATACTTTGGCCACCTCATGAGAAGAGAAGACTCCCTGGAAAAGACACTGATGTTGGGAAAGATGGAGGGCACAAGGAGAAGGGGACGACAGAGGATGAGATGGTTGGATAGTGTTCTTCAAGCTACAAACATGAGTCTGACCAAACTGCGGGAGGCAGTGGGAGACAGGAGTGCCTGGCGTGCTCTGGTCCATGGGGTCACGAAGAGTCGGACATGACTAAACGACAATAATAACAACAACGATGAACATAATAGTTGTTTAACATGATTGCTTCTCAATATAGCATGCTATACATGGGTTCACATAAATTAGTGTCATATGATCTGCCATACTATTCAGACTTACCTCCCCTTCCCCAATTTATCTCTGTTCCCTAGGAAATAGAACATGGAATAAATGCCAATGACCATCTCCCTCCAAAATCCCTTACCTTGTTGATGTACCAGGTATGGGGCGTCCTGTATCGACAAGAACACACCAGCAGTAACCCGTGGAAGGGTGACACTGCACTGGCTTGTAAAGGCCACCACTGGCACACTCTGGAATGAACACATTGTCTTTCTGAGGTTGTTTAGCTTCTTCTAATGCTGACTGAAGTTCTTGATCACATGATGCCGCGGCTGGAAAGAAAAGAGCAATAAAGCTATGGAATCGCCTATAGACTGATCAACTAGCTGGTAGATTAGCCAAGCAGCCAAAGTAAAATAGAGTCTGGAGATATGGCACCAGTCACATGAACCTTCACTGGCAGTCTGATAGGGTGAGCTCAGTCAAAAGTCTCCCTCCATTTATTTGAAATATTTGCACACCACCTTTCATTTAAAAAAATCGCAAGGTATTTCACAATAATGCAATTCATTTAAGGTGCATCACCTTGTCAGTTTTTTGGGATGACTAGGTCTTCATTTGACTTATAAATGTTTTCCCTTTGGTTCACTGCATATGTTGAATACCCATATTCCTAGAGGTTAGCAGCTTCTACAATAAGCGTGATTCTGCATAAGTCTGCTTAGAAGTATGCCTAGTTCAATAAGGCTTACTCCCAGTTAAATGTGTATAGGCTTGCAACCTAAAGTAAGGTTACCAGATTTTTTTCAATGAATCCGGGGACACTTTTCAACTTCCTACTAAACAGATGGATTTTGTGAGGGGACTGATTTGTAAATCCGGAGCAATGGATCCAAACTACAAGAAAGAAGATTCCACCTAAACATTAGGAAGAACTTCCTGAAAGTAAGAGCTGTTCGACAGTGGAATTTGCTGCCAAGGAGTGTGGTGGAGTCTCCGTCTTTGGAGGTCTTTAAGCAGAGGCTTGACAACCATATGTCAGGAGTGCTCTGATGGTGTTTCCTGCTTGGCAGGGGGTTGGACTCGATGGCCCTTGTGGTCTCTTCCAACTCTATGATTCTATGATTCTATGACTGTCCCCGGGAAATGGGGACGTCTGGTAACCTTAACCTAAAGGCCTTTCCAGTTGTGGCTCACCACCTGCAGAACACTCTCCCCAGTGAGGTCTGCCTGGCAGCTTCACAGACATCTTTTTGGCCTCAGATAAAATATGTTTCCCTTCCCCAGCCCTTTGATGGACTGAGTTGATTACACTGTATTGTTAATGTGCTGCCAAAGCTTTATGTCGCTGTTGGGAAGGGTTCTTTTGAATTATAAAGATTTTAATGTTTTATTTGCTGCCTTCCCTTCCCTTGGGAGGAAGAGCAGGATATACATTAAATAAATAAATAAATAAATAAATAAATAAATAAATAAATAAATGGGACTTTTCTTCTTTCTTTTTCCTTTATGGTATAGTATAATTCTCTTTTTGCTTTAAAATGTAAGTTGCTTGGAGAACGTCTTAGGTAGCAAGTGACCAATAAGTCATTATAATCATAATAATGCAGAAAATTACAAGGGCACCTGTACCCACCTTTAACATATCCAACTGCTATACACATATTTCCTCTCAGTTGCGTAAATCCCAGGAACATGCACACGACAAGCATTATCAATAACATCCCCTTGCTGATAGTTCTCCTTTTCTCATTAATATAATGAGCCACAAATGGACAATTTGAAAAGGCTACTTTCCAGAGCTTTAATTAAGCTTTGACATTCAATGCAGTTGCTCCACAGAAACCCAGTAACAAGACACCAGTGACTTTAAAAAGACAAAAAACAAGTCCTGCAAAGTGAGACATGTCAACCACTGTGAAGTAATGTAAGTATGTCCCGCATTTAAGAAAAAGAAAAATTCCCTGTAGGCTTCTTAGAAGAAACTGGTGGTTAAATTTGGTTCACAAATATCACAAAACTGTAGTTCTTCACTGTGACCCTTCCATTTCAAGTAATTTCAGCTTAGCATCCCAAACTTCCCAAACTTAAAGCAAATGCTCAACTAAGCAAAGTAAGAAAATGGTTAGTGTATCTCTCAGAAGATAGATAGACAGTCTAGTTCTAAGATTTGCCTCACAAACAGCCCTACTTCAGGGAAGGCTAGTTCATTAACATCAATGGGGCACTGCCCCACTAACCTCATCCTGTTCTACCTGCTTTCCTTCTTATAACCAGTCAAGGGCATAGCTGTCAGTTTCCCCTTCTGGATGGGGACACAACTATAATTAGTTGGCTTCACACATCATTGGCCCTTGCTATATTTTTCCTTGCTCATCCCACCTTCTGCCCTACCAGGCCCAGTGCGAATCAGCTGCCACAGGCTCTTTGGGTTCCATTGCCCCCTGAGAGTTTGCACATGCTGCAGGCAGCAGGGACAGTACAAGCTGCAGCAGGCAGAATTCTTCTGTCAGGTTCCAAACAATGTCTTCAGGTTTCACCAACCATGAAAGATTGGTTCATAAGACTTGGCATTTGGCATTGATGGTAAAATATATTGCATTTGTGCATATACACCAGAGGTGGGAATAGGCCGAGGGGACAAATATGGCCCCCAAACCTCCCTCTCTGGCCCTCAGAACTCTCCTGAGGCCAGACCTGTCACGGGCCTAGGTTTGGACCATGAAAGTGTTTTGCCTGCTTCACACCCTCCTTGAATGTTTTTGCTCAGTTGGATATGGCCTCTGATGGGGCCTCTTGCATGCCTGGATAGAGAGTGTTGCATAAGTGGGTGTAGAAACTAGCCTACAGTCTACAGGTCAAGTTTACATTACAGTGGTACCTCAGGTTAAGTACTTGATTCGTTCTGGAGGTCCATACTCAACCTGAAACTGTTCTTAACCTGAAGCAGCACTTTAGATAATGGGGCCTCCCGCTGCCGCTGCGCTGCCAGAGACCAATTTCTGTTCTTATCCTGAAACAAAGTTATTAACCTGAAGCACTATTTCTGGCTTAGCAGAGTGTGTAACCTGAAGCATATGTAACCTGAAGCGTATGTAATCTGAGGTACCACTGTATTTGTGTTGCCCATTTTTGGCCTCTGGCTCTGCCCACCACTGGAATATAACCCTCTGGCTGAAAAGGGTTCATTACCCTTGATGTACATGATGGAAAGTGACATAAAAAACCTTTCCATAAATCTTTGTTCTCCATATATTTGTAAGGCATTATAAAATAGAGTGCCTTTTGCTGCTCTCCTAATAAAGGCTATGGATTGGATTCTATAGGATATATTGACTTATGTACAAAGTTCAAAGTACATAACTACAAAAATGCACACAAAAGTTAAGATTTCCTATTCTTCCTTCTCCTGCACCTCCTAAAGTCTCTCGGGGGATGTCAAGAAACAGGTTCCCCTGAATGGGGTAGGATGGAGCACAAGGGGTCAGATGAGCAAAGAATTGACTGAAATTGCATGGACCTCATTATCGGAAATTTCAGTTCAAGCCTGGAAGGTACCTTCCTATACCCATGTCGACTATTGTGAATCAAAACATGAGAATCAGAGACCCAGGAGCTTTTCTGTGTTTGAGCTTGCAGAGAATGCCTAACGTACAGCTGCTTGTTGGAAATGTAGCACTCTTGGAATTTAGGTACATTCTTGTGGCCTAACAAAATTCTCAGGGCTCCAACCTCCCTTCATTTGCATATGCTTTCTAGCTCAGCTGAGTAAAAGAAGCTGCATCTAGCAGATGCAATCATTTAGCTCTGCGGTTTCCTATGGGACTATCACGCTGTTTATAGGAGTTGGCCTTTTGGAAGTGGATTTTGAAGAAAATGCACACTGGAAACGGAATACTCCAAACACATGTTTACTTCTGGTTCATCAGGAATGCAATCACAATCTTATCTTCCTGTAACATCTCGCCATATCTATATTTAGCACACTTTTGAATTAGGTTATTTTTTAAAAAAACAGACTCAATATAAACTTCTTCTATACCGTGTCATCAGAAATTTGCCACTTAAGCCACAATCATTGAAAGTAAATTAGATTAACTTTTACCAGAGCTATGCAACCTGTTCACACAACTCTGGGAATGTTAAAGTCTTTCTTTTCTTTTCCACTCATCTGTCACCCTTAATTTCAGCAGAATTTCCTTTTTTAAAAAGAAAAGTGGCTTTATTGAAGTAAGCATTAGAAAACTGTATTTTCATCTAGATTAAGGTTCACCACAGTATTTCTTAAGTCCTCTACATGAACTGTCAGTGTATTTATAAAACATGATTAACAATAAATAAATATATTAGTATGGTTGATTCTTTTACAGGCTTAGTTCTACTATTTTGTATATACCATTTTGTGTACACACACACAGCAAAATGTAATCTAAGTGAACATTCACCAGGGCTCAGTCCCCAGAAACTGTTTTCAGTATTCGACTTGGTTTTAGAATATGCATGTTACAGAAGCTAAGAACCACTGAGCACACGCAGAGTGCCTTTCTCCTGTGCCTAGAAAACATGGATTTTCTAAAATAGGTCCCTTTCTAAAAAGATCTATTTTAGAAAATATGGAAAGTGTTACTGACTGTACAAGTGTAAAGGATAATGCCTGCCTCCTTCCCTCAGTATAAACTGTGGACCTTTTGAGTTGAATCTTGAATCTTCCTCATGAAACCCTGTAAAGAAAATCTAAAACAGAAAAAGTATTAAGATTATCATTGTGTATAGTTGTTGGGCTGTCTTAACCTGGTTACGTTAATAACTTACCCTTGGTATCTGTCTGGTTTGGTTTATTTTTTAATTGATATTTTCAGAAAAGTTTAATGAGTCATAAAACAGGGCAGCTAAAACGGTAACATCATCAGCCAATATAAAATCAAACCAATATGATATAACCTGACCTAGCAACTGGCCCAGTACCATGGCCTGTGCATGTGTGTTGCATTTATGTGTTTATTTTTATATCTCTTTTGCTGGCGATGAAAGCTGGCTCAGAAGTTCTGGCAGCAGCCCTATCTCAAAGAGGAGGGCATTCCATAAATGGGATGCCAGTACAGAGAATGAATATATAAATACACACACATCTATATTATCTATTTCTATGTAATAGTAAATGAATCACAGCTGCCCAGACTTACAATTTCAATTTTATGAAAGAACAGCATTCTCTCCATTGATAATATGTTTCATTTTCAAGTGTTATTAGACCTTAAAAGATGGATTTAAAAAAATAAATAAAAATGGGTTTGCATGGTCTCTATACACTTTTCAAAATGTGACTGTGTCT